CCACACCCAGATAACACGATCCTCTATCAGACCAAGTCGGGCAACTTCCGATGCGCCTGCAGGAGCGGTATCCGACAGTACCCGCCCACGCAAGCAACTGAGGGGAAGAAGAGGGGTACGCAGATAGACACGGTAAGGTGTAGACACGCAATAGTATCTCCGATGACGGAGGGCACTTACAGTCAACCTGGAGAACCACCTCCCTCCAACCAGGTATATAGCCACCACAATTCCCAGCACCAGCAGCACCAACAGCACCAACAGCACCAACACTCCCTCCCACACCTACCAAACCACCACCGCATCAACAGCTCCTCAAGAACCAAAATGACGCTCCCAACAACCACAACCACAACCACAACCACAACCACAGTCGCCGACCCAATCCCCCTCCCCGCGCCCTTCTCCTCCCTCCCCCGCCTCCCCCTAACCCTAGGCCCCTCGCCCATCCACCCCCTCCCCCGCATAACCGCCGACCTGAGCACCGCCACCAACCCAGTCCGCATCTACGCCAAACGCGACGACCTCTCCTCGCACCTCGCCTACGGGGGCAACAAGACCCGGAAGCTGGAGTACATCCTGGCGCCCGCCGTGCTGCCCCCGACCACGCCTACCACCCCCACGGGAGAATGGCGCAAAGCAACAACCCTAATCTCCATCGGCGGCCTCCAATCCAACCACACACGCCAAGTCGCCGCGTGCGCCGCGCACCTGGGCCTCAAAGCGCGCCTGGTGCAAGAGAACTGGGTGCCCGACTACACCGCGCACAGCAGCGGGTACGACAAAGTGGGGAACCTGCAGCTGTCGCGGTTGATGGGGGCGGACGTGCGGATCCACCTGCCCACCGAGTTCGGGATCGGACATAAGGCGACGCTGCGCGCGCTGGAGGCCGAGTGTCGCACGGCCGGGGAGGTGCCGTACTATATCCCGGCGGGGGGCTCGGATCACCCGCTGGGCGGGGTGGGGTTCGCGCGGTGGGCGTTCGAGGTGCGGCAGCAGGAGGCGTCGGGGGCGGTGCTGCCGGCCGGGGAGCGGTTCGAGACGGTGGTGGTGTGTGCGGTGACCGGGGGCACGTTGGGGGGCATGATTGCGGGGTTTAAATTGCTGGAGAAATTGTATCCGGAGGAGGAGGCCGGCACCAGGAAGAGGAGGGTGGTGGGGGTGGATGCGAGTGCGAAGCCGGAGGAGACGCGCGCCCAGGTGTTGAGGATTGCCCGGGTGACGGCGGCGCAGATTGGGTTGCAGGAAGAAGATATCGCCGACGAGGATGTGGTCTTGGTCGAGGATTATCATGCCGGGTTGTATGGGGTGCCGGACCAGCAGACGTGGGAGGCCATTGAGTATGCCGCCCGCATGGAGGCGTTCATCACCGACCCCGTCTACGAGGGGAAGAGTTTTGCCGGGATGGTGGATTTGATTCGCAAGGGCCAGATTACGGGGAATGTGCTGTATGCGCATCTGGGAGGGCAGTTGGCGCTGAATGCCTATACGGATGTGGGCGAGAGGAAGGCGTGAATTAGGAAGGTTACGGGTCATTATGGAGAAGCAATGCATATCAATGTATTAAGGAGTGACTAAAGTTGGTTTAAGTGATGAGCGATGAATGGTAGTGGTAATCACAGGTAACCCCTACAAAAGCTTGTGCTCAAGAGTCATCTCAGACTCAGGCTGCAGGCCAACACAGGCCCGGAAGATGTTGGTCAAGGCGTTGCGCTGCTTGGCCAGGGAGTTGACCACCGGAGTGCCCGGGGGCGTCAAGGGAGCCTTGAGCATGTAGCTCAGCACGCTGAGAACGCTGTGGAACCCACGGTACTCCTCAGCCTCGTCCGCCTTCCAGCTGATGCGGGTCATCATCTCCGCCACCAACACCAGATCGATGATCAAAGGAGACGCCAACAACGAATCCTCGCAGATGTTGAACAGACTGATCGTCTGGTGGCCTCCCATGAAGATCTCGGCATAGTACTCGTCCAGCGCACGCTTGTTGTCGCCGACAGCCGGCATGTACTTGATCACCACGGTGTGATCGGGGTGCTCGTCCTCCGCATACAAGATCTTGTTGGCAGCGACCATGTCGTCCACCACGTTCGACTTGGAGATCTCCTTGGAGCGGAACTGCTTCTGCGAGCTCAGGTTCTTGCCGTCGTTGTTGCCCAGGTGGTTGTAGCTGGCAATCGAGGTGAGCTTGATACCCGCGTTGATCAGGAAGTCGACAAGGGCACTCTTCATCTTGGTCTGGCCAGACTTGAAGTCGTCACCGCCAATGAAGGCCCCATACTTCTCCGCCAGCTGAAGAGCGCCGGGAACGAAGGTGTTCTGAGGAGAACCATTGATGAAGGGAATGTTGTCCAGGATACAGGCGACAGCAAAGACAGTCGAAGGAGAGACCTCGAGGTGTCCATCCTTGATGGCCGCCAGCAGGTTGTCGGCGGTGTCATTGACGCCCGGCACAATGTCGGCATACCGCTCAGTGTTGGCAGTCCACATGACCACGACCTTGTCGAGACCGTTCTGGGCCTTGAACTCACGCATGTCCTTCTGGATCTGCTCCACGTGAGCCCAGCAGGCCTTGGATCCCTCCAGCACGTTATCCGCCCGGTCTTCCTGGTTGGCAGCAATGAAATCCGGGTAGTAGATACTGGGCAGGGGCTTCATCTCGGCCATCTCCTTGCGCACCAGCTGCTTGAGACCAGGCTCAAGGACCTGGGCCCGGTCCATCGCGTCCGCCAGGTTCATGCTGCTGATGTCCCAACCACCAACGACCAGGTCATTGGGGTGCACCATGGGCAGCATGTCGTGGAACGGAATGTTGATCTCCTCGCCCGTCTTGGCGTCGGTACCCAGCTTGATGGTCGAGCCCATCACCACAGACCCATAGTAGTTGGAGGCACGCATGCCCTCGCGGGTCTCCCAGCTGAGGCCGCGGCGGTTGGCAATGAGACCGGCGGTCACGGTGGAACCGTTGTTTCCACCCCAGCCGACCATCATCACACCGACTTTGCCCACCTTGCGGTCGACCTTGAAGTGATAGTTGGTAGCCTTGGGAGTGGCCACCAGCTTGTTGTCGGCCGAGCGGGTGACCTCGGTGGTGTGGTACACATACTGACTTTTGATCTCGGAATCGGTGTACACAACGTTGGGCGAGTTGACGGTAAACAAAGGAGCGGTACGAGCAGACCCGTTCACGGCGCCATTGGCAATAACATCCGAACTAGCGTGGGGAGCCATTGTCTTGACAGAGGATCGGAAGCGTTTCGGAATAGAGTGGTTAAGAATGGCAGATCAAGCGTTTATTGAATGTGATATGCGCAGTCCGATGCTCCACCACGGTTGGATGAGCGCCGGCCGTTGAACGGGTGGTGCCGTCTAGAAAGAGAACGGTTAGCTCTGGAACGTCATTGTGAACGCAGATCGCTCCAAGGGAAGGTCCAATTGCTGTTCCGGGCAACACGATGCTGCCCGTTGACAGCAATCCGGGGGTGGGGCGCGGGCAGGGCACTCACGAGTTGAGAAGTGTGGAGAAAATTTTGACGGTGGTATGAGATCACGCCTCGGGCAGAGTGTGATCGAAGAAAGGTTAACTTGGAAGTTGGTTTAGGAACGAAGATTTGAAGTTTGACGGTGGGTGGAAGAGAGAAAAGGAAGGAGAAGCCTTGAGGGGGGGGGGAATTGCTCTGGGCTCCTTCTTATAAGATAACCAGGTACGGACGGAGCAGCTCGGCTCCCGCTGGGCGAGTCCGCAATCGTCCGCCCGCCCAGCTCCGCCTCCCCCAACAGAACAAGACGAGAACGAGTGAAGCACGGGGAAGCGACCCTCACACCCACAACTTCTCGCGCTAGTTGTTCAATCCTCGAACTACGAGTATCTACCGGACCAATTCAGGCGAGTATGCTTAATTGGATTTCTCCGTCGTCACTTATTCTTGATGTGCTGGCAGCCTCTCACAGGAGAATTTCCTCCCAGAGATTGCGGTGAGCCCCGGGGAGACCAACCTCCCTACGCGACAGCTGTGAATTTTTACTGGGTGATTTAGATCTTCAGAATCATGAATCACGCATTACGCAGACCTTTTTATACTCGAGTACTCCTGGATTGACTACGTACTGCATATACATCGTGGTCAACTTGCCTATGCTATCTGCCTACACGTGCTCCTCAGCCATGAATCTCAATCAACCCGGCATGCTACCCCTGAGACTGCTGGCCTCGCGCCCATACCCACCGAGAAGACTGAACAAGGACAAGTGGCCAGGGCTGGACTGGCATAGTGGACCATGGGATGGCAGGTACCCGCGGGGCTCCGCTTCGCCGACAGTTCATCGACATAACAAACCGAAAACCTCCTGACTTCCTGCATTCAGGTTCCTGGAGAATCATGCGACTTCGGTTTCAACAATTGAGTCTGGAGCATCTCGCGCTCATAATCCTGACGCAGTACCAAGCCATGCTGCTGCTGCAAGCCAGTCTTTTGGGAAGACGCAATGTTGCGGTGAGCAACGGCCAGCTCGGCAGAAGTTCCATGGTTGCCAACTCGGCCCCTGAATTTATGCATCGGTAATGCTGTTTGCGGAGGCTGCGGAGTGCTCTGCTCCTCTCTAATTGCCTGATTGCCTCGCTTAGCACCCGGCACCGCGCACTTGGAATAATGCTGCCTGCTTGCGAGCTCTTGGGACACGACATCAGTCGTACGTACCCCCGACTGCCCTCTAATTTAGTTCCTGTAGGGTTTGTCCTAGTCATCTGGTCCTGGACGAACGAGGGATGGTTGAAAGGGGGGGGTCAGGTGACCATCCCCCGCTGCGAGCTTTCAGGCACCACAGGCTCTGGTGCCTTAGGCCGCCAAATCCGTCTACCGGGGAGGCGGCATTCCTCTCAGCATCCTCCGCTAATTAACCATCCACCATCTCAAGCCCGGCGCTGACCTCTCGGCTGGAGGAACCGGGCTGCAGTAGTTGCAGGTAGGGATTCTTCGATCGCACAACAATGTGATCTCACTTCTGTTCTTCCGTCGATAGCCAGACACGGCACAGCGGTTGGCCCCCAATTGAGGCTTTTTGGTTTAGTCGAAGTCTGTATACGAAAGATGCTACCCCCTACGCACTATATCGACCTTCGTAGACTGGTTCGGCGCTAGATAGGATGAGACGGCACACGCCGGAGTCCGGTCCCGGGTCCTTCGCTTGTGTGCAGGCATTGACGTCCAGGGTGCCAGCATCCCCAAAGGTGAGTTTGTGGTCTGTCAGTCAGCATCTACCCGCACGCTGTGCACACCTCACGGCCGGTCAATCCAGCCATTGACGATGACATGCAGTGGACTGACTTCATGAGCAGCATCCCCTGCCAAAAAGCTGGAAGACTCAAAGTTGAGCATGATGTGCAATTGCCGACCACCGCATTCACTGCCGCCGACAGGAACCATGGGACGGGGTGGTTGCCGCTTGTTGTGGCCTCACAAGCCAAGGATCAACCTGGCTCACTGTTGATCTACACCGCAAGACGGGATGGCAGCATCTTCAACTGAGAATGACCGTCAGACACTGGAGGACCGTCTGAGCCAGACACTAGTGCCGACTCGCCTGATGGACCACCTTCCGCTTGTTGCCAAAGATATCGACTGCCCGCTCGCGCGACAAGCATTGTCTGTCACCAAGATCGGCGGCGGCCTACCAAGGGTTGACAGTCAGCATTTTCGGTATCGTGACCTCATGGTTCCCGGTCCACTGCCCCAGACCTGTCCTCCCCTTGCATTCGCGACGGTCGGGAATTAATGACATTTATGGTTTGCGCATGGGATCTGCCTATCCTTGCGGGGTTCATTCATCTTATCCATCTGGGGGTAGTTGTTTGGTCGCGAACGAGCCAGACACTCCAAAGCAAGGATGCGGTCCTGAGAGTAGACCCCCCCCCATTAGGATCGAAAATGGACAATCGCACAAACTTTAATGATTAGCATAGACCCCAATGAGATCACTCGGAGACCTGACCCAGCGTCCCAGGAGGGAGGCTCGTGCACATCGAAACGAACAAGCTGCAGGTCAGGATTAAAGCGGCAGCATCCCCCGTGATCATGAAACCACAAGGCTGTTTATGTAGTGAAGCAGGTGGGTGGGTGGAAGGAATGGGGCTAGTTGTTGCAAAACATGAAGACAAGGAAGCAGGAGAGAAAGTTATGAGTAAGTAACCGTGTAATGGACCCTTTGCATCAGACCATGGGGTGTGCATAACCCCTGAGCCCCGATCGGCAGTGGAGGATGACCGGTTCAGGGGGGGCGAGATGACGGATTGATCGCTCGCTATGATTGGAACCAGTGTTGCCTCTAGAAAACTCAGGAATTCCCCTGGAATCATATTGTCTTCGTGATTGGGGGGGGGAGGGGGTTGGATAATCAGGGGTAACACGGAGAGAATTGATAATTACATGCGTAGAATGTTTAAAAATAAGTCGTCAAACACTGATGGAGATAGTCTACCAAACAAAGTCAGTCTCCTGAAGCTGGGAGTCGTCCAAGTGCGTACGTACCGTAGATAGTATGAGAGAAGATTCTCCAGTGGATTGCATGGTCGCAACGATCCAGACCGAGCCAGAATGGTTGTGGAAGCATGACTGAACCACCAGCCTCACTACGGAGTATAGTAGTCAGTGATTATGATTGTTGTGGTGCACAGTCTGTGTACTGTCCTCAATCCTGAAGTAGATAGAGTGTGTGAGAGTCATGCAGAACGCAATGTTGGATGTGAGGGCCAATCACCGTCCACTGGATGGGGCAGGGTTCGTGGATCTTGACAAGAAAACCACTCCAAAAAAAACCCACACGAGGCTTCATTTGGAGATAGTTTCCTTTTTCTGTGTCTTGTTCCGCATTGCAGGGGAAGGCAAAAGCACTATCCGTAACTCACGGACAATAAAGAGAGAGTAAAGAATCAACAACTTGGAAGACAATCAAAACCCCCAATTCCATCTCCCAAATAGGACTAGCTGGGGTTCCTTAGGCTGACTGCGACGGGATCCAACCAGACCCAGAACAGCGACGCTCCCCCAATTCCACCCAGATAGTCTAACCAAAAAAAAAGAACTGGAGTCCTGGACAAACCGACCAGCTCAAAACTAGTTCGACTATTAGTATTTTGGATGGGCCTTTCCCACCCAACCCCCCCCCCTTCTCCTCTTCTTTTGTTGACAATGAGTGGTTGGTAACCGATCTACCTCTGGTGTTCCTGCTCCCTCCTCAGTATCCATGCGTCTCTAACCCAGCGACCTTATTCCCACCCATTCTCCAGATCGTCTCTCCTATCGTACCCATTCAACATTACGTCTTCGGGGTGAAGAACCACCTTGGGTCTCTGATTCGACTTCTCTCAATTTCTCTCCAGTTTGGGAGCGGTCTCTCCGTTCGTCAGTCCAATGGTCTAACCACTCACGAACGTTGCGTGTGCCTTCTGGTATCATAGACCCGTGAGATTCCCGTGCCCAGCATGGCTCCCAGCATGGATATGGGCTTTTTGCCCAAGATCAAATGCTCCAATTGCGGGATCGATGTCGAGATCTCTGCCATGGGAGACCATGTGTGTGCCAAATCAGATCCAAGTAGGACTCTCCCCTGCTTATAGCGTCATGTACCACTTTTTAACTTCTTACCTGGTACCTGGTAGTTCCCCCACAATCACCGCCTCGCCCTCCTTCGAAGTCGAGCATTGGATCACCCCCCAAAGCAGGCAATGCGTGGGCTGCCAGAGCTGCGAGGATGAATCCTCCGCCACGTATTGACCCTTTGGCAGCCAGTATGTTGTTCCTCCAGACTTCACAACGAAACCACCACTTGCTCATCAATGATCCCACTTTGCAGATCGGCCGTTTCTGCGCCCGCACAGTCCCCTAGACAACAAAGACCTCCTCGTCCCATCCCCTCTCTCCACCGCTACTTCAGGCGAACCACGCTCGCCGCTGCGTCCGCTCCAACGTAGCCAGACTTCACCTCTGCCAGAAGAGCCACAATCCCCAGACTCAATCAACATGGAAACTGCATTTGCCTCATTTCCCCTGCCTCGATCGATGTCGGACAGACGTCCAAATGCCGGTTTGGACTCCATGGGAGCAGGAAGGGTTGCCCCTCTCCAGCCAGCACGACATGCTAGCAGCATGAGTCGAGATAGTCAGAACGCACCCGTTGAGCTGCCGGCCGATAACGAAATACCACCTCCTCCAATACCCAAAGACGGCCCTCCTCTCCCCGGCGTCTCCCACAGATATGGAGCATCGATTGATAGCAAGAGCAGCTATCGAACCTCGGTGGCTAGCACGCGGTACAGCGACCATCGGACCTCCAAACGATCGGCCTCCATGTCCAGCCGGCGCCCCTCGTTCGGCAGCGTATCCCGCGAACACCTACAATTTATTGACGAAGAAGCTCCCCCGGTGCCGCCACCAGCACCTCAGAACTTGCTACTTCCAACACGACTCTCTGGAGCCGAGATTGCCGAGAATCCGGAAGGACGAGGTGAAATCTACAGCGGATTTGATTTTGGCGTGTCAGCCCGGCCAAGCAGTGCCAAGGCTGAGATCGATCATGTCGGGGCCGGGTCGCTTCGAGTATCGTCTCACACAAATCGTAGCTCCGACAGACTGAGCAGCAACCGCGGATCAGCGGAGCTGTTCTTCCAAAGTCCTACCCCAAGTCCGAATGAGGCCCCCGTGGACTTTGAGCTTCCGGATGAGCCAGCAGCGTCCCCTGCCGCCCCCTCCAGCGTGGAGTACAAGGCTTTCAAACCAGTGACTTCGGAGCTCCCGCAGCCGGCCGATGCAGAATCCGCAAGTGCTCCAGAAGAAGGCAACAAGCAAAGGAAAGATTCTGATTCTGCAAGCGAGAGCAATATCTCTGTGTCCAACTTCGCCCGGGCTCTGGGGCTCGATGTTCCGGATCATGCTGCCGAGAGCTCAATCACGTCGTCGGATTCATCGCCATCTGACACTCGCAGCGGCACCTCCTTCTCTAGTCTCCCGTCGGAAGCAAGTCTCTCGCGGAGGCAACCTTCGGACCCCAGCCGCCTTGGCTCGGTGGTAGAAGAGCTCAAGGGTGGCCAACGCTCGAAGGAGCCCGTGCTAGACGAGCTTGTCACAGAGAGTCCGATTGATCTCGAGCCTCCTCGCATCACAGAGCACCTGTTCAGCCCGGATTCGCCGACCGACCCAGCCATCTCTCAGGGGAGCTTATCGCTCGTTTCGGAGAAACTGCCACGAAAAGCAGATGATCATCAACCCGAGCGACCCACTCTGCTCCGCTCTGTGACGGCACCAGCCCCGTCCCCGGCCCCGGCCCCTCGCCCGTCCCCACGCCCGAAGGGGCCTTGTCGCGGGTGCGGTGAGATGATTTTAGGCAAATCCGTATCCTCGGCCGACGGCCGTCTCACCGGCCGGTACCACCGTGCCTGCTTTGTTTGCTTCCAATGCAAGACGCCCTTCCAGACAGCGGATTTCTATGTCCTTGAGGACCGACCGTTCTGCGCTCAGCATTACCACGAACGCAATGGCTCGCTCTGCGCTACATGTCACACGGGTATTGAGGGGCAATATCTCGAGACGGACGAACGTCGCGGTCGCGGTCCGGGCGACCGTCAGAAATTTCATCCCGAGTGCCTCAAATGTCGCACCTGCGGCATTGCTCTGAACGGAGACTACTTTGAGTGGTATGGCCAGGTTTACTGTGAGCGCGATGCTCGACAAGCAGCGGCTGCATCGATGCCGCCCCCTCGGCCCCCTCGCTCGCCCATGCCCATGTCTCCGATGGGACCCCCTGGTGGTCGTGGCTACCCACCACCTCCGGGGTACGGTGGTCGCGGTCGAGGCCGTCCGCCGCCTCCTGGCCCTCGTCCTGGCTCCTCTGCCAGCCAAGCTCCTCCTATCCCGATGTTGCGTCCGCCAGGGCCTGGGGACGGGCCGTATGGAGCAATCGGCGCCCTTCCCAGCTCTCGACGCTTCCCCGAACGACGCACCACCAAATTGATGATGATATGATGATTATAAGTACATTGATGGACGTGATTCCAGCCAACATCCATAATTTCTAGTTTCCCTCCTCACCACTCGAGAGGATGGGCCCTCCTCGCCTTACGGTTTTCGCTGTTCTTCCTCGCTCAAGCCTTTTACTGCGATGACCTTAGACTCTCTTTGCTTTATACCCTTTTTGTGGTTTTCATGTTGATAGAGTGTTGGTTTCTTGATACCATCCTGTCCCCAGCTGTCTGGCGTTTAATGCCAGTGGCTTACTACCATCGTCTTCTGTCTACATGTTGACATGTATTATATGATGTCTATCTGGAATAGTGCTGTGTGATATACAGTGAATTGTGTTCTTATTTGGTATACTTCTGATGCAGGCTTTTCTGCGATATGAGTACAGTATCCTTGTCTCGCTGTGAGGACGATTACATTTTTCCTTGACCTACAACTTGTAGCCAGAAATGTTGTCGGGAAGCGTTCCGAGGAAGCGTGAAGACGGTGGATTCCAGTCTATCCCGGAGGAACTCCGACCAATCCACATCAGAAGTTGTTCTGTTCTGAGACGATGCAGACGAATTGCACCTTTCTTTGTTGATACTTGATACCATACTCGCATTGAATAGATACTGACAAGACAAAGATCAAATTCCAGCTCTACTTGCCTCTTCCTTCCTTTGTTCCGTCACTTTCCACCCTGACACTTCATCCTCCTCGGGCCCCAGCTCCAACTCCTACTTTAGGTCCCTTCTCAATAATTGATCAACCACAAGAACAGAATAAAGATGATGCTGTCAGCTGCCTCAGAGGTAACATCATTGTAAGCTGCTGGCTCAAGAATCATTCTCTTCTTTTTTTTTTTTGGTGCAAGCTGAATTTTGGATGAGGAAGTCCGATTCCCTGCCCACCGGCCTATCATATATATTTTGCTCGAAAACAGCCATCAAAGCCACAAATTTGAGGCACAATAAGACCGAAACAAGAGAGGTCTCCCAAACAGCACATATCCTACAAGTTTCAATACTAACGAAAGAGAATCCATAAGCGTATAAGATCTAGTTGATCCATTACATAAAACCAGAATAAAAACAACATCTAAACGAAGAGCAGCAGCACTATACTTACCCCCATCCCCATGCCCATCCCCAAATCCCCCCTCCCCCGCTCCCTTCCCCTCAGCTCCCACCCCCACAAAACCACCGCACCTCATCCCCCACCCAAACGGCCCCATAAACCGGCATCCCCCCCGCCACCCCGCGCCGCCACTCATCCTGCAGCACCTGCACGCGGCGCGCCCAGGCATCCGGCTCGGGCGGACGATCGTACCCCATCACGGTCGTGAGGTACGGCCCGGTGCGGCCGGCGTACACGGTGATCAGGTCGTACATGACGTGGGTGCGCGGGCAGACCTTGATGGTGGGGAAGATGGTGAAGCCGGCGGCTTGGGGGAAGTAGGGCGTGAGGGTGCGGATCCAGATGTCGACTCTGGATCCTTCGGGGGTTTCTGGTAGGAGGGTGATTCCGGGGATTGCGGGGGGGAAGAGGGGGAGGGGGGTTGGTCTGGGGGTTTGGGCTGGGGTTGTTGTTCGGTCGATTGGGGCCGGAGGAGGGGGATGAGGGGGGGCTTGGGTAGGGGTCGGGGCTTGGGGATGGGTTTGGGGATGCTGGGGGGGGATGCGCAGCACCGTGGATGGGGTTGCGGGGGTGGGCTCTGGGATCGGGGGTAGTGATGATGCAGGCGGAGGAGGTTCCAGTGTGATGGCTGGAGGGGCCTCCCGTGCCTCTGGGGTTGGATCCTCGTCCAGAGGTAGCGGTCCGGGCAGTGTTTCAGCAACATTATCCAAGCGGAGCATTGCAGCGGGGAGGAGCAGAAGCTCGAGGGATTCGCAGCCCTCGGGCGACAGCTTTGGGTCTGGACTTGGTTCCTGCATCGTGGTTGGGGGGATGGAGATGGTTGCTTGCTTGAGTGCTACCCGAGTGCTTGTTGAGATGGGAGATTCTGCAGAGAACGGATCACAGCGAGATCTATATAAAGGCTTTGTGGAAGGAGCTTTGATACTCGTCTTGGCTTTGTGAGCTACGGAGATACAGGAAGTCGCCCGTCCGGTGAAGGATTCTACGGATGTTATTTGTGGTGTTGCATGATCTATGTGCTAAGCTTTGAGTTGGGGGTGACTGTACAAAGAATGAATTGTAAGGGGATCATAGCATATTCTACAATGACAAAGGCGTTCGATGATTTGGAAATCTCTTGGACAGAGACAAGATCAACGTCTTTGTTACTTGGTGTCGTGTTTCTGGTTTTGACTGCGCTGGCAAGGGCTAAGTTGTGTACTAACAGAACCACTGAGCAATGCTCTCAAGTTCCACATTCCTAAGTTCAACTATCTTCAAGAGTATATCTGTTGGATATATCAGTCAAGTATATACACTTAAACTAACTAGGTAATAAGTAATCCTATCATAGACTCTTCCAAATCATCCTGTGATCTGTCAAGTCGGAAACCAGGCTATATACAGTACACGATGCATAACAAGTCGTTAAGAGGGGAAAGTCCGCCCCAATCATATCATCCCACCCAGCTCCATCCGGCGACCCGGCGACCATCGCGACGAAATCACCTCCGGGGCGGGTTTCACGGGCAACGGTTTATTACTCGACAGCTCGTTGCGCTCCCACTCCGAGTCGCTTTCGCCCGGCACACCGACAGTCTCCGGCCGAGAAGACTCGCTCGACGACAGCCCCCCGCCTGGCCGCATACGTCGGAAATCCTGGAGATCAGAGATCGGGATTGGGTAAATCGGCCCCATGCCCAACCCCATCGACTCACGCGCCATCTGCGTCAGCTGCTCCATATCCTCGCGAAGACCGGCAACCTGCTGCTCGAGGCTGCGTCGGGCGGTCTGTTCGCGCCGCAGCAGCATAACTAAAGCGCTGTACTGTTCGACTGAGATGGTGCTGTGGTCGGTAAGGGATGTCGAGGAGGGGGTTTGTAAGGTGCGTGAGCGGTGGAGTTGGTTCGGACGAAGGGTGCTTGTGCTGGATGGGCGGTCTGGGAGGAGAGTGTCTTGAGTAGGGATGGGCGGAGGCATCTTGTTCGGCCCCGATGATTGTTTGCGGCGATGTCGCTTGACGGGTGATGCAGCCCGCCGGGATTCGGCGGGACTTTCACTGCGGTCAGTCTGCAGACGGGCAATGGCGAACTCGAGGTCAATCATCTTGACTTCCAGAATGTTGAGCCGCTGCTCAAGCGTGATGTGCTCGTCATGTTGCAGAGAAGTGACGAGGGTGCCGACATTGGATGGAACCGGATCCTCTGGTTCGGGCTCGGGCTCAGCTTCCGCCTCTGCTTCACCGGCGGCCTCCTCTGGCTCAGTGTCTTCGGGCTCTGCCGGTTCTTCCGTCAGAGCTGAAGGTTCGGTGGGCAGCGCCGGCGCACTGGCGACAGTAGTCCGAGTCGGTGGTCGGTCAACCTCTGAGGGTGCGCCATAGGCGGTGGACGCTGCGCAGGACTCCAGACTGCGTCGACGCCATTGAATCGGCGACATCAGATGGTGATGTTCCTGCGCCAGACCGCGCAGGGCGGCAGCACTCCGCGACCGGCGCTTGAGCTGCTGGCGCTCCCGGCGACGGCAGACATCAAGAGGATCACTGTTAGCATGAGGGATATTGTCGCGCTTGCTCACAGGACGGCCCTGCACGGCGGCTTCAAGCGCACCGCGAGATCCATCGTCCGACAGGATCAGACTGGGAAGCGTGGCTCGACGCCGTCGTGGGTGCGAGTCTAGCTTCTGCAGGGCTTCTGCGAATGAGGTGACGGTGCCATTAGAGGGCGTGAACAGCGGCGGAGAGTGTTGGTGTTGTTGTCGAGATCCAAAGGTTAGAGCTTGTGACGGCAAACATCGTTCCGTGTTCGGACTGGTGCTACCTCCCCGTGGTGGCGGAGACACGCTTTCATCCCCGCGCGTCTTGCGGGTGAAGATCTTGCGCATGACGGTCTTCAACGTGCTGCCAGTGCGTCGATGGGTACTGGAACCGCGCACAATCACGGTTGGGGGCTCGGCAGGAACAGGAACAGTTGGTCCCTGCCGGGAAGGGCCGCGCAACGTGCTAGATAAGAGTGAAATCTCGGCGGGGCGCGCGCGACGAGTGCTGACGATGAGCTGCTTCGAACTCATCGGAGGTAGGGCGGTGTCATCCCAAATGTCGGCCATGGCGGACTCTGGTGAGCTCCGATGCGAACTCAAGTTGGACATCTAGAAAAGAACATAAGATGCACGGGCACGTGCGAATGTCGGGATGTCGGGATTGCTGCGTGGGATGATGAAGAAAAATGATCAATCAGACGGAAACGAGACGATCGGGTATATAGTCACAGACCGGACAGGCCCGCGGGGGAGAGCGCCACCGTCAGCAGGGAGAAGCAGGAGATCCGGCCGAAACGCTCAGATCATGGTGTGACGAAGGAGCGACGCGAGATAAAGTCTGTTTGTAGAGAGCGAAAGACTATCAAGTGGGGAAGCAGTATGGGAATGAGAGACAGTGGATCGAACCAAACATCAAACTACAAGAGGGGGAAAAGAAAGACTGTAAGGGAGAGAAAGTGGACGCAAAGAAGAAAGAAGGAAGAGGAGGAAGAGGAGGAGGAGGTGGTGGTGGTGCAGGCAGAAGAGGAGCAGAGAAGCAAGCATGTGCCCAAGTGGGCCTTTTTTTACGTTTCAGGGGGGGTATTTTTAGTATCCAACCTGACAAGATTGAAGACTAAACACAAGGCTCTGTATTGTGGACGCAGAGAAGATGCACCGAAGAGCATAACGAGGTGAAGAAGGATCAGCAGGATCTGATCGCAGCCGATTCATCGTCCTCGGCTCGTGCCAACACAATCGAAGATGAAACCGTCAGACTTTAGTTGTTGTTGGTTCATTTATTAATGGTGGGTGAATTGAGGAATCGATTCTCAAATGATGGATGCCAAGCGGGCGTGCTCTGACCACTTTTGCTGTCACTCAAGCCGAATTGGTGAATTTAGTCTGTTTCAGCCGAGTGGAGCGGCAGCACCAGGCCGAATTACGGAGGATTATGCAGTCGCCGTGCAGTGATTTCATGACTTCATCTTCGGCGGGCGGCCTCTCACAAGAACGTCCCTGCATCGGGGTAGCGCAGATCAGCCTGTTCTTCTAGAAACTCCATCCAGCGCTTCAAAAACCCATTTCCTCTGTAATGCAGTTAGGGTCCGTCAGCAATCACACAAAATTCCAACAACCGCCCCCAAATGACTTACTGGCTGATCGTCTCCGAATCACCGCAGATGCATAAGTGTCGCTTCGGCCGCGTCATGGCCACTGTTCCGCTCTAGTCAGTACTGACCTTCGCAGATTAATCTAGAACTGGTCTTACCATTCAGCCGACGCTTCTCGGCCAGAAATCCAACTTCATGGGCCTCGTTACTGCGCACCAGGCTGACCACTACTGCCTCCTTTTCGCGCCCCTGAAAGCCGTCGACGCTGCCCAATTCCAGGTCGGGATATTTCTCACGGAGCATCTGCGACAACACTGCTAGCTGTCCGTTGTACGGGGTGATTACTGCAATATCGCTCGGTTGCACCCCGGCCGCCACCAGGGCATCAACATGCTGCCCTACCACCAATGCCTCCATCGAATTACTCTTGCTTTCTCCCAATAGTTTCTCTGACTTACCTAGCCCCGATTCCTCCGCCGTCTCAGGGAAGTCTCCGCCCTGGGTGTCCCAGAAGACCAGGGGTGCTATCGTATCATCTGTCGCCTGCACTTCAAACGGCAGATCCGCCAACCGGCGCGCCCGCACGGCCTCAGCTGCTATTAATTTCGACTCGTACAGCTCCTGCGAGGGGAATTGCATGATGGTTTCGTGCATACGATACTGGGTGGTGAGCATGCGTTTGATCCCCGGCCCATGTGTGGCCAGTAACCGGTCAAACAGCGTAGTCTCCAACGAGACGTCGGGCAACAGCTCCACCCCCGCCTCCGCACTACTGGTTTTCGTTTGCTCGCGCGTCGATTTAACGGTGGGCGGCAGCTGCAGGTGGTCGCCGGCCAGGATGACCTTGGACGCCGGCAGCAGCGGGATCCAGCATTGGGGCTCCAGGGCCTGGCTGGCCTCGTCGATCACGACCACATCGAACTTTTGCCCGCGCAACTGATGCCCGCCCGCCCCGTGCAACGTCGCCAGCACGACGCTGCTCTCCCGCACCAAGTCCGCTACGCATTTCGTTTCCCGCTCGCGGTACTCGCGCCGTAGCTGCTTCAGGTCGTCGTAGATGGCGCGCCGCTCCCGTCCCGACCGCGTCTTGCGGATGCTTGCCTGTTTCTGGTCGATCTCGCGCCGCACGTCCCGCACAATCCCGGCCGCCTCGGATGTCTGCGTCAACACTTCGAGCGAGTGATCCAGCACCGCCGGCAGCAGTCGCGCGGGGTGGCCGATGCGCACCACGGGAATCTTCTTGGGGACCAGTCGCTCGACGATGTTATCCACCGAGATATTCGAGGGCCCGCAGACCAAGACGCGCTGTTTCCGCTGCACCAGCTGCACGATCAACTCGATCAAGGTATGCGTCTTTCCCGTGCCCGGCGGACCGTGGATGAGGGCGATATCGCGCGACGCCAGCGCGAAGCGGATCGCCTCTTTCTGGGAGTCATTGAGCGTAGGGTCGGTAAGCTCCATGTCCTTGCAGACGTCGTAGTCGGGTGTGAGGGGGGTGGTATGTCCGAACGCGACGCGCATGAAGTGAGTATGATCGGATTCGTGCATTTTGGCCATTCGATCCATCGTCTGGTTCATCCTGCATCACCGTCGTCGCCGTCAACAAGTCAGCGATTTCATTCCCCTCAAACCAACCAGGATACCTCAAGAAGAATCCCTTACCTTCGAAACGTAACATCATTCGCCAGCTTCACACTGTCCCCCGCACAAAATCACCAGTCAGCCAGTCAGTCCAGACCATCCCACCACCCTCAACATCTTCACCCCTCCCCAAACCACACAAACACAACCAAAGAAAGAAAGGAAAACATACAACCAAACCCTCTTCCCCCACAGCTCCTCCACCCCCTCATCCTCCTCCTTCTTTCCCCCGGCCGACGCAGCGGCCCCCTGCTGCCCAAACGCGACCCAAACCGCCCCCTCCCCAACCCTGGTAACCACCCCCTCCGGCGCCTTCT